CCACAGCACCACATGGGGGCGACACGACCTGCCCCCGGCTCACGCTTCCTCTGCCGAGTGCGCCCTCCTGTGGGGAGACCACGGTGGCTGGCTCCCCGTGCTTTGGGGGACTCCCTGCCTTCTCAAGCCTCCCAGACTCATCCCCCAGGTGTCCCTGTGCTGTCTCAGAGGGGTTGATTTTTCGTGACCTCACTCTCATCTCGATCCTGCCTGACCTCCCAAACCCGAGGTGCAGATCGACAGTCCACATGACACATTTCCCGCGCCTGCGGTGTTAAGCTGTCTAGGAATACCCAGTGGTGGGATGTCGCTCTTCTCAATGTGCTTTGAGTGAGGTCAAGCATACGCCACGTGCTCCACCACAGCCAGTAATGGAACAGCCCATGGATGAGCCCGAAGGAACCCAGGCACTGAGACAGTAGGTCCTGGAGGGTACAGATTCACAGGACAGGGGCTCAGGCTCCTCCTTTCAACCCCTGGCTGGGAGTGGACCTGGAAGGAGCTGCTCCTCTCTGTCCCTGTGTGGGGCCGGGGCAGGTTCCCTGAACATTTCTGGGGTGCCCCACCACCAACACCCCCCCCCCCAGCGGGGCTCCCTTCTCAAGCCAGCCTTGTGTCAGATGTGTGCAGACAATCTGGGTAGTTTTACACTGAAACCACAAACACAGGAGTCTTCATCTTAGTGGAATAAGAAATAGGACACACCATGACCAGAAGTTGAACAAGTAATATGTTATTAAAACACAACTTAGTGGCAAAATAAAATGAAAATTTAGGCTCCCTGGCAGCTCAAGACCAGTACCACATAAAGCAAGAGCCACTAAGCCCATTAGAACAACTGTGCAGGATGGAACATGGCTTGGAAATGTTTTCCCTGGCCAGTGGAAGTTACCACGACCTAGCCCAACCCAGCCCAGCAAATCAATAAAAATGTGCATCTCCCTTTGTTCAGGGAGCAGCCGTGTCCTCCTTCCTCTCAGTCACGGCTCTCTCCCCTCAGCTGAAGCCCCAGTGAAAACCTTGCTGATGTATTTCTGCTCACTTGACTCGATTCCATGTTCACCTTCACCCAGCCCAAAGTTCCCATCTCCGGTATCAATAAAGTTATGCACTGAACACAGGGCCAGGGCTCTGTGCCATCTGGCTCCCCATGGCAATGACACTCTCCTTTCCTGTCATCCCTCTTTCATGCCATCCCACATTTACTCGCCAGACTCACCCTCCTTCATCCTTTTAGTCCACAGAACATGCCAGAAACTTTTCCTAGCTTGGAAATTTTACCGTTGATGTTAACTGGCTCTTTCTGCCTGGTGGGATGGGGACAACGTGCCCCTTTATTCCTGAGCTACACGGCCATTGATGGAGCTTCCACAAGTACAGGTTATTAGCTCTCCTCATCTTTCAAAATGCAGCCTGGCAGGGGCTGGACGATGGCAGGGGTTCAGAGTCCTGCTTGTACAGCACAATCAGGCATCCCCAGTTCTCCTGACTCCAGTCAGTCAGTCATGGTCACTGCACTGCTCACCGCACCATTTTAATGGAGTCACATGCTGGCTGCTCCTAGTTTGACTGGGAGCTCGCCCCTTCCCTAACCATGGGGAAAACAAGGTTAACCTTCTTCCCATCCTAGACAGAGTCATCTGTCTTTGAACTCATGGACCACAGCAGTGAAGGAATCTGGACTTTGGGGCTGGCAGCAGCGGGTCCTTGTCTCTCAAGGCTACAAATGAATTATGACTCTTGACAGGGAACCACTGGAGTGCAGCCTTTGTGTCCCCCTTAAAACCCCACTGTTCCCACTGAGAGTTAGAATCACAGCCTCTGGGACAGCAGTCCCCCGTGTTTCTCCTTTGCTCACAAAGCAATAAAACTTCCTTTCCCTCTTTCTCAAAACCTTGTCCTTGTTATTGGACTGGCGCCTGGGGGAAGGTATCACCAACTCATAGGAGGCCTCATTATAGATCTTTATCACAGTAGCCCTTTGCCAATGCCAGGTATATACAACAGGATTCTGCAAATAAGTAAATACAGTGAGGATGAAGGGTGGCAAAGTTCCAGAGGTCCAAGAAGGAAGCAATAAACACAGAAAGGTGGAAAGAAAGGAAAACGTAGAACAAACTCTGCTTTTGGACTCTTGCTCACGATGCGGGTGTAAGTCACAATTCTCTTTGCATACAGAGAGGACACCTTTGGGTCTAAAGTCCATGTCCTCCAACAAAAAGGAATAGGGATCCTTGGAGGTATGGATGAAGTGATGGCATTTTTATCTTCCCAGGAACCAGAAAACCACACATTAAGCATGACAAAGAGGGGTCCTTTACAGTCACAAAACACACCCCTTAGGGGGATACAGTGGACCTTGAAATGATGAAGGATAATCCATCAGAAATACAAGTAGTAGTAGATAAAACACAGTCGGGATGAGATGCTTCAAGCACCTCTCCTACTTCTTTCATAAAGTTGCCTTGAGAATTAAAAGAGATTGTGCCTCTAAAACATTTATTCTGATTTCACACATAGTAATAATTGTTCAAAATTTGTAGCTATTTTTTATTAAATATATCCTCATTTTTAAGTGGAGCAAATGAAGCTAGAGAAGTGACATAATTGTCACATATATGTTATCAGCAGAACCAAGATTGTGAACCCAGGTCTGTCTGACTCCACATTGATCTTTTCACTTTTTTGTGTATGAACATATGTATATGTTTCAGTCGACAAAAACACATATATAATTGTCCTGGATTTGTAAATATCTTGCAGATGATGTTCTGGTTCCCCAATACTGAGTGGACTTATCAATTTAACAAACTAAATGCTTCCTTGGTGATCTGAAAGAATTATGATTGAATGACTAACATCTCCAAAAAAAATAATATTAGCAATAAATACTCCTAGCCTAAGAAGAGTTGATGTACTGTTTGTGTATTTAAAGATATTGAGAAGACTTCATTAGATAATAATCGATGAATACTGGTTATAATAAAAGCCTTACAATTTGGCTGCCCCCCCCAAAAGCAGCTCTCTCCATAAACGATGTCCATCACTGCGATCACAAACACCGTACATACATGCACCTGGCCCTCAAAATTTTCAAAGTCCTTTAATGGAACTCCATTTCAAAGCCTCATTTCAGGCAGCGGACTACACTTGGCCCAAAACCACTACTTTTCCAACCTCTTCTCAAGATCATTGTCTTACTTCCTTTCCTGGGGGTACAGTAGCTGTGGCTGATTCACACCTGACTGGGCTGACAAAATCCACAGTTGTTCTCTGAGAACACGCTAATGCATCTGCCAGACTGGAGAATGAATGGGAGGTCCTGGAATCCATGGCTCCCGCACCTCTCAGTTCCAACCCTGGCCTTTCTGTGTAATTCTCCCACTGGTGTGAAGCTGCTTTGGAATGATGACTTCCCCAGGGACCTGCAGCTGCCACAGCTCCCGCTGGCCCTTTCTCTCCTGGGAGTTCCTGCTCCATGGGTCAGGAAGCCCAGGGGGCAGTGACAGAAGCCAAGTTCCATTAGGGCCTGGGATTTGGTCCTGTTGGCTTCACTCCAGTGCCTGGCATGTAAAATGGGATCGACAAGAATTTGTGAGTGGAAACACAGCCTCCACAAGCTATTCCTGACTACCCCACTCCCTTAAAATGGAGAAGTAACCACTGGATGGTTGGGAGGTCCCACTAGACCTGTAAAACAAACCCAGAAGCAAACCCTGTTTATTCCGGGGGCCAGGGAGTTACGGTGGAATTAGGAATCCCAGGACTGGGGCTGAGCTCACAGCCACTTCTCTGTGATGCTGAAAGCTTTAAAACGACACAGTTACCTCGTTAGATGCTCTCTGAAGGCAAGGCAGGAAGCTTCATGGAGTATACCTGTGGGATTTAGGTAACATCCTTCCCTCTGGGCGAGCAACCCCCCAACACACACACACACACACACACACACACACACACGCGCGCGCGCGCGCACGTGCGCGCGCACGCATGCGCGCACGCATGCGTCAAGGGGCTCTGTGTTTGACCCCTGAACCATGTCTGTAGGCAGGATGCACCTCTCCCACAGAGTGGCTCAAGGGGGCTGAAGGGTACCATATGGGCAATGTTTTTGTTTAAAAAATCCATTGAGGACCTAATGGCATGCTAGAAAATTTTATTCCCAGGGAGTGAATGATGAATTAACCACAGATGAGCATTATTGCCACTCAGGTAATGCATTTATTGAACTTAATAACATGCAACGTGCTCCTGGTATCTACCAGGCACTATTGTACATGCTGGCTGGTGGGTTAATGAAAACAAACAAAAACTGCCCTCTTTTCATGGAATTACCATACTAGTATGGGAAAGAAGGGACATAGGTAAACACTAAATTTAATAGGTTGAGATGGTGTCAACAGATGGAGAATATTGTGGAAAAATAAAATTTGGGCAGATAGCCGAAGGAGGACTCAAAACTGAAGGCAAGCTGTGACTTTAAATCCTGCCCATTAATGGGCTGGCCCTGCAGCCTCTTAAGTACTTTGCCTCCCTGGGTTACTTCAAAGTCATACGAGACCACCCACCATCAGCACAGAATCCACTCCTGGCCATGGAAAGCCAAGAATTCAATCACCCCCTGCTTGGGCTGACTAAAACCCACTGTTTCACTCCGAGAGCTCTCTTTCACATTGGCCAAAGAGGAGAATTAAATGGGTAGTGGTGGGATCCACAGCCCACGCATCTGTCAACATCCACTGTGGCCTTCCGTGTAATTAATAGCAACGTTACTTCTATCCTACAATCAGGAACCAGTTTTAGCATCTTTTTGAACAGATTAGGCACATCTCTAAAGTGGGACCATGGTCCCCAGGGAGCTACCCAGTAAGTCTACAAGAAAAGGCTAATTTAATGTATTGTTTGGGCTCACTAAGCTTAGCTTTTCTTTAATGGTTTAATACCAGGCCCTTTACTGCCCATGGGAATAAAGACCAACAGGAAACAAAGGGTTTTGCTTTTACAATATGTGCACAGGGGTCATAGAAACTGCTCTCCAAATATAGCAGGCCTGAACGCTCTCTACTATAACCACATCAACGATGTCATTTGGTTGAGGTACGTAACCGGCAGGAAGCTTCAGAGAATCCAAAGTGAAAAAGATGGTGTCGTCCACCACACCATGTCGCCCATGTACACTGCTAATGCAGACCTGTGATGAGAAATGATGGGAATGGTTGTGTAAAAGCACAGTCCATCCTCACCAGCTCTGCACCTCCTCACTCTGCCTCTAACCTGTGGGTCAACTCCAACCCTGGCACTGATTTCCCAACCTGCCTGGCACACTGGCAATGCCAGGGGTGCTTTTAAAACACACCAGTGCCAAGGTCCCACCTCATGCCAATTAAATTGAAATCTCTGGAGACGGGCCCCGAGACTGTGACCAGAGACCTTGGGCTAAATATTACCCACAATAGACATGGATCCTATTTCCCTGAGTTTCCTACTCATCTTCAGGCTGCAGTACCCAAGTCATTACCCAGCTTTTGCCAGTAAGCTCCAGACTCACAACCCACCTCATTCATTTTTTCCCCAAACTTTCTGGCACACAAATTGCTTTTCCTTAACTGTTGCTCTCAGAATTTTTTGTTGTTGTCTGTTTTGGTACTGGGGATTAGACCCAGGGGTACTCTACCATCCCCAGTTACATCCCCAGCCCCTTTAAATTTATTTTTTTAGACAGGGAAAAACTAAGCTGCTGAGGCTAGTCTCCAAACTTTGATCCTCCTGCCTCGGCCTCCAAAGGAGTTGGAATTACAGGTATGTGTCACCATGCTGGAAAATTTCTCTCTTTTTCTTTCTTTCTCTCTTTCTCTCCTTGTCTTCCTTCCTTCCTTCCTTCCTTTCTTCCTTTCTTTTCTTTTCTTTTTTTTTTTTTTTTTTTGGTGATCCTGGGAACTGAACTCAGCTGAACTCAGGACATGGCCCATGCTAGGCAGATGCCTTACCACGGAGCCACTCCCATATCCCTCTAATAACTTTCTAATACAAAAAAAAAAAAAAAAACAACTACATAACTTAGAAAGTAATTATGCATGTGGTCTACATTACTTTTTATTTAGATCCTTTTGAAAGCCCTTCCTTTTCTATAAGAAAATAGGTTTCTGTTTGGCAAGAAATACATTTTCTAGATTTCTAACCACACCCAACAGTCTTTCCCTCAAGAAAATTATCGTTAAAGGAAGGATAGGCAGAAACGAATGACCAGTGAAACATGGACACAGATTACCTCATCCACATGCCTACAGTTCATGGGCTTCACGGAGAGGGCATTGATGTTTGAGGTGCCCGGCTGCACGCAATACTCGACCTCTAGCCAGTCGCCCTTATAAGGCACGAAGCCTAAAATAACCATGGAGAGATTTCAGCGTCATTATCTCTTCACTTAGGCCACATTCCATTTCATAAGTCCCTTTGACATGGCAATACCCTAACACACCTTCTATTGTATGTAAAGTACATTCTGTACACATTTAAACAGACATATAAATCATATCAGTCCTGCTCTTGGAAAGTCAGTTTACATGCCTGTAGCCACCGTTTCTCCTGTCCCGATTTAACAAAGTCAAATGCGGAAAAGTGTCAACCACGTGTCACAGCCAACTTTTTGGCAGCGGCACGGGATTCACTAATCAACTAGCAACATTCACAACTCCTTTGGGAGAGTCAGCTAAGGACATAGGTGAGAGCACATGATTGAACTTGGGTACCTGCCAGTATAGCATTGGCTAGAAACAAAATCTTGGAACTTATCTGCCGATCACAAATAGAATGCAAAAATGAGCATGTGCACACATGTGCGCACACGCACGCACGCACGCGCGCGCGCGCGCGCGCACACACACACACACACACACACAGAGGTATAAGGCTGTCTCCAATCTCATTTTGAAGCATTTCATTTTTTTGGAGAAGGGTATCCTTTTCACTTGCAGAATGTTTTCCTTGACTTAACATTACACACATAAGTGAAATTTTATATAGACATTAAGGACTGCATTCACACAAAGGAGGGAATCGCTGATGTTTTTATGAATATCACCTGTCTGTCCCTGTATCGTGCATTTTTTTCAATTCCTAGGGCCCACGTCACATATCCAAGAGCTGTAAACTGCAGCCAAGTACGTAATAGCCATAGCTCTTTCTCTGCAAATGCAAAACATACCATCACGAACGATAGACAGTGAGAAGCAAGTATCTTTATTAATGTAGACCGCGTCCTTTGTCACTAAGGTGGCACGACTGATTAAAACACTGGTTCCAAGGTCAGATGGCCCAGAATCATCAAAATGGTCAGATATAGCATCCACCTGTAACACATGGAAACGCTTATTTCAAACAAAACTAATTTTTACAACAAGAGCGTGTATGATCCCCTAAGAATCTCCCTCATAACAACTACAATTCAATGAGTTAGCCTGGTCATTGTAGGTTTGCAAGACATACGATTCCTGTGTCAGAGACAAAGGACTTTGTGACTCACAGCAAATACAGCCACTGCCCACCTCTGTTGAACCGTTGGTGTTCAGGAAATATCTTAAACTACCCTCTTTGACACTAGTCCATATATTTCGCATGACAAGTACATCATAAACATGAGAGGATGCTAAGAATAACGTCTGTGCTTTGTGGATTACAAAACCGCATCCAAAATGTTAATTGTGCATCCGTGTTTAATGTGTTCACAGCACTAGGCCCAAATATGAAAAATATAATGTCCTTGCCAGAGAGGAATTCAAAGTTCAATAGAGAAAATATCTAGTTCTGAACAAGTTGTGATAATGGCTATAAATCATGTTTGAAAATGGGTCTTGCAAATCCCCAGGGGGAGAACATTTTAGCCTTGGAGAAAACGGGGTTTTATTGGGAGGAGGTGAGACTTGAGCTTTGTCTGCAAGAAGACGAAGTCTTTACCTGGTCAAAGGGGGTGGGGGCAGGTGCAGAGAGAGACAGGAACAACAAACACAGGTTGGGAGAACAGGGAGGAAAACACAATTTTCAAGATCTGGTCCTGGGGGAGAAAAACATGAGAGAGAGTTGGAGAAATAACCACGACAGGAAGAGATCTAAAAATGGCAAGTGGCATTAGGGCCTAGTTTTTCTACCACAGAGAGGGTACAAATATTTCAGCTCATCAGAAGTAACGATCCTTATTTAAAATTGTTTTTGATTAGAGCATGATGGCACACTCCTGTCATCCCAGTGGCTTGGGAGGTTGAGGCAGGAAGATCGCGAGTTCAAAGCCAGCCTCAGCAAATTAGCGAGACCCTAAGCAACTTAGCAAGACCCGGTCTCTAAATAAAATATATAAAGGGCTGGGGATGTGGCTCATTGGTGAAGCACCCCTGGGTTCAGTCCCCGCTACCAAAAAAAAAAAAAAATGTTTTTAATTACACAAACAATACATTCTCATTAAAGACAAAAGGAAAAGACAGATGAATATGAAGCAGAAAACAAGCACCCATCATTTACAGTTTTCCATTGCCTAGAATATATTATGGTATCAACTGTATTATTTCATTCATCATGTTCCAGACATTTTTTTCTGTGAATAAATATATGCCCAGTTTCCAAAACAAAACTTAATATGCCATGCAGTGTTACAGGTTTCAGGTCCTAATCTTTCTCATAAAACAAGACTACTGAAAGGGTAATATAGCATCCCTATGAATGGATTGTCATAATCAATCAATCCAATCCCACATTATGTGTTATTTAGTTTGTATCCTTTGCAATGCATCGCCTACCCCTCTCATTGACTTCTGTAGCGCCAAAGTCCTAGGAGTGATATTTTTTGGTTCAAAGATTTCTGTTGGAAACATGAGCCCCCAAGATGTAACGTTTTTTCCACGTATTTTCTAAAGCCTATTTCATTGCTACTGCTATATCAAAACTGATGTCTTTCCAGCTGTCAATACCAATCTCAAGGTCCTTTTGCCCAGATTCACTTTCTTTGGGGAAGAAAGCACCAGGCTCCTGGCTGTCTATCCAGCACCACTTTCGTCAGAATCCAAGTGGGTGATCCTTCATATACCCTCTCATAACTCTGTGCCCTGACTCCACACTAGCTCACAGCCATACTGTACAGCAGGCTGGCGCCCCACCACACCCTGCCCCCACCCAGATTACACGTCAAACTCCTCTCCCAAATTCCTTTTCTTTTCCCTTGCTACCATCACTAACACAGTAGGGCATACAGACAGATTCAAAGGCTTATGAAGAAACATCTTACCATGCACATGGCCTTTCCTTTCCCATCAACAGGGGGATAGAGTGAATTGATCATCCAATTCACCGTAAGGGACAACTGGGTAGCAATTAGCAAGCCAAGATATGGGTCCTTCTCTCAGACCGCTCACCTGAATCAAATCCAGGCTGGTCAAATGTTGACATGTAAATGCACAGAGAACTTTCAGAAGAAAAGGCAAGTGAATGTGTGTGCACATTATGAGTTGGAATTAGCCCAAGAATTCCTGCTGAACACAAAAGCCACATGGACAACATGGACATACTTATCTTACAGGAAAAATAAACATATACAATAAAGAAAAAAGATGGTGTTGGAGGAAATAATGCAAGAACTCCATACCTTAATGAAGCTACGAATAAGAAGTTTAAAATGCACCGTGTTTGACGTATGTATTCCACCTTGAACGCATACCTCAGAAAAGGAATATATATATATATATATTTTATATATATATATATATATATACATACATATATATATACACATACACACACATACACATATATATGTATTTTTAGTTGTAGATGGACGCAATACCTTTATTTTATTGTTTTTACATGGTGCTGAGAATCGAACCCAGTGCCTCACGTTAGGCAAGCATTCTACCACCGAGCCACAACTTGAGCCAGAAGATGGCTCTTTACCAGAAAATCTGTAGAATTTTATAGAGTCCAATGATATCATCATTAACAATTATTTATTTATTATTAATTAATTAATTAATTAATTTGGTACTAGGGATTGAACTCAGGGGGCACTCAACCACTGAGCCACATCCCCAGCCCTCCATCTTACTTTGATGGCTTTCAACACATGAGTTGCTTTATCTTCTTCCACAAGTGCAGTAACCTTTTGACCAGCTTTCAGAGGCACATTACCAGTCACAGCATCAGTACTGAAGTAGATGGACCCATCAATCCGGCCATAATCAGTACAGAAAGTTGTCACAACCCCCTGTATAGATCTCAAATTGCTGTCACCTATGACACAGAAAAACAAAGATCACATCATTTAAGCTCCAATGCAAATGCCCACTACAAATAAGTCCTACACTGACCCTGAGCACATTTCTTCACTCCTCGGACCTGTTTTCACCTTTAAACAACGTCGATAAGTTTCTGTGCCTCGGGGTTGGTGCGAGTATTAACTGACACATAGATGCCACCTGTTAGGAGCTGTGAGTGCCCTGCCCAAGTGAGAGTGTGAATGTTGATGCGATCACCATGGCTGCATGCAGGAGACTCTAAGCTTCCAGGACGGCTGCAACGACCCTTCCTCAACATCACCAGCAGGATCTCCAGATCCTTCAACATCTCCCGGAAGCAATAAAAGGTTTCGGGAGACGTTAAGACTCGCGCCCTCGGCTTCAAATACATGCCTATTTGGGTTAGAGACCAAGTTCACCCCCGAATTAGGGCGGTTCACGTCTCGGGAAATGGAAAGGGGTGTCACGCAAGGGGGTGGCAGCCGCAGGGCCTTCTCTGTGGCCGTCTAAACACCCCTCCCCTTTGGACCAACGGGAGACTTAAGATCGAGGTTCGAAGAGGACCCTGGGCCACCCTCACTCCAGGCACACCATGGCAGCACCCCCGCTGCCCTTCCGGCTAGGCCCGAGCCCCGTGAGCCCCGTGAGCCCCGTGAGCCCCGTGAGCCTGGGCGGGCTGAGGAGAGGCCCCCTCTGAGGAGGCTCCTCCTGTGGAGGCCAAGGGGACTCACAGAGGACTACCTTGCAGCAGCCTCTGCTGCCCCTCATCGGGTTCCGCCCTCTTCCGAAGTAAGGCAATAAACCCTCTCAGGATCCTGAGCATGTTGCTACCACCACAGGCCTGGGGGCCGCCCTCGCCACACAGACCAAGCACCAGGCCTCCTCTGTGGGACGCCCTAGCGTCACAGCGCCCCCTTGACCCCTCTGCTTCTCTTCCTCAGCCTCTGTCAGGTGGGACCACGGAACTGCTAGTGAGCAGCCCTCAGGTGAGCCAGGGTCATGGCGCCCCCACCCGGGCTCACAGGTGTGCCTTAACCTCCCCAGACTGAGAGGGCCCTCCAGGGCACACCTCTTTCCACCTTCCAACCAATGGAAATGCAACACCACAGAACATGCCCCCTGCACCCTGAGCACACTGGTGAGACTATCCTAAGGGGCCCTTAGATCTGATGGGTGGAGCCTCAATTTCCCCACCCGTTGCTTCTTATTGGTTGCAGACACCCACATGATCATCAGCTGCATTCCCATTGGTTGGAAGGTGGAAAGAGGTGTGCCCTGGAGGTCCTCGGGCGTCTGGAAGCTCTCTTTCGCCCAGTCCCAGACGTCTTCCAGGCCTGCCCTAGGTGGCGCCCTCCATTCTCTAGAAGGCGGGAAAGAGCCACAGTTCCCTGGGAGCTTCAGGTGGGTGGCTGCCCCTACTTGGCCCACGTGGTCTGCGCAGGCACGAGCTCCTTCCTCAGCCCAGGGCTTCGGAACTAGCTGCCTCGGATCCTGACGGGGGCCGCAGGGTGTGAAGAAGAGTGATCGACCAGCAGCAGGTCATGGTTGGGGACATGGCTCAGAGAGCCCCAGGGAGGTCCATTCTCATCCCTAGGGCCTGGGATGGACAGGAGCGACAGTGGCATGAGCCTGTGGGGCCCTGGAGCTGGGGGAGGGACAGGGTCCGGGGGGGGGGGGGCTAGTGGGTCTGTGAGACTTGTGTGTCGGTAGCTGGACTCCCCATGTGCCCAGTGTCCCCAGTCAGCTTCCTGGGCACAGAGAAAGCCCCCTACCGGGGGTCCTCAGAGTGGGAGGAGCCATCCTCAGGGACTACGCTGTGTGCTAACCTCTTGCTTCCTCTTTTCTTTCTTTCCTCCTTGCTTCCTTTCTTAAGTTTTAGTTTTTTTCTATCCTTTCCTTTTTTTTTTTTTTCTGAACTAGGGATGGAACCCAAAAGTGCTTGACCACTGAGTTACATCCCCAGCCCCCTTTACTTTTATTTTGAGACATGGTTTCCCTAGGTTGCAGAGGACGGTGTGGAACTTGAGATCCTCCTGCCCTGGCCCTGGAGCAGCTGGGATTACAGGCTTGTACCGAAGTCAGCCACGTGCCCTCTTTTCACACACTGCTTTCTTCCCAGGCCTGGTGAAGGCACATCCATCCAGGATGGCATGGGGCTCTAGAGACCAGACGCCCCCTAGTGAAGTGAAGTGGAGCTGTGAAGGGCCCATGGAGGGAAAGCCGAGGGTCGTTTCCCTGGTAGACCTCGTGGAGGGTTTCCGGTCAGTCAGGGGAGGATTGGTCACCTGTGAGGCTGGAGCCCATGTGTGGGTGGTCCACAGCCAAAGGCTTCCAGCAACCATTAGGTGCCTGGGCTAGAAAACTGGAAGCCTCCTAGGAAGGAGGCAGGACCAGCAAATACAGTCCTTCCTGGTTATCCCTAGAGCACTGGCTCTCTGAGGCCCTGGGCACCAACATGCTCCCATGCTCAATCCATTTCTGGAAAATGGCCTTAAATTTGAACCGAACCTACGCACAACCTCCCATCTGCTCTAAACCACTCTAGATGACTTATAATTCATAATGCAATGTAAACACTGTGGGAATAGTTGTTGTGATACTGTGTGGCTAAGAAACAATGACGAGGAAAAAAGGTCGGTATCCATCGCGGACAGATGCAGTTTTCTCCCCAGCATCTTCAGTGTGGGGTTGTTGGTTGCATCCCATCAGGCCCAACCCCAGCGGGCCAAATGTAACTTTGGGCAGCACTTCCTCTGCGCAGGGACTCTGCTCTTTGCCCGAACTTGGATCTTCCCAGGATATTTTAGGAAGTGCACGCGATGAGTATCCTCCTGTTACAGACAGAGGCACGGGGTGTCCCTTAGGAAACCTTGCCCAGGAACAGTGTGGGGGCGGGGTGTTGATTCTGGAGGATTGGGGCGGGGGAGAGAATCATGACCATTTCTTTTCCATGTTCCTTCTCAGGGAGGAGGACAGGTAGGCCAGCAAAAGCCGAGAGAGAGAGGACCCACGCTGCACCAGAAGATCGAGGTCCTGAGACCTGTGGAGACAGGTATGTGACCAGCAGTGTGACTGCAGATACTGTCCCAAGAGGATTTGGATGTTTTGTAGATGTTGTAGATGCAGGAGACCGTGGGCACAGACCTCAGCACCACGTCCCTCTGGTGGTTTGGATGTGACTTTGGACAACTTGGTTCACACCCTTGATCCTCAGTTCTGTTCCCTCATCCGCATTCAGGGGATCACACGAGTACCCAGCTCTGAATATCAGGTGAGGGTTCTGTAACTACTACATGTGGGATGCTGAGAACAGGAGATGCCACATAATTAATGTCCTTCCTTAGGTAGGAATGCAGAGTCTGACCTGGCAGCGTATTGTTCCCCTCGGAGAGACACTCGCAAAGCTGAGGCAGCAGGGGTGTCGGGAGGAGGGCGTGGGCATACTCGTGCCATTACACACACTCCATGACAAGAAGAATGAGGGACTGAGGATTGGCTGCCAGTGCATGGTCTGGCTCTAACTGAGGTCCCTTTGTTTGAGGCCTCTAAGCCCTGACATGAAGTCTCAGGTTGTGTAGCAGCAGCATTGAAAGGATTCCTCCTGCATTTCTTTGGAGGCCTCCCTGTATTCAGAAACCCGAGTTTGCCCTCCTTAGACTGGGAAAGGTGTTGGCTGCCTGCGCATCGGTAGGGGGCTCCTAAAGGGCATGTGTCACTGGCCCGGGCCCTGGAATGCTGGCGGGGAGCTGCCCTCCCCATTGCAGCTCTCTGCAGTGATGGCTGTGGATGGCTGAAATGTGCCTAGGAGCTGACCTTTTAATTTTCATCACTTCTTGAAAAATTTGTTCGGACGAGTAATACATGACAGTAGAATGCATTTGGACACACCAAACATGAATGGAGTGAAACTTCTTGTTCTTCTGGTTGTACATGTTGTAGAATCTCACCGGTCGTGTAGTGCTATACGCACATAGGGTAATCATGTCCAATTCGTTCTGGTATCCTTCCTAACCCCATGCCCCTCCCGCTCCCTTCACTCCCCTCTGTCTATTTCTGAGTACCTCTGTTCTTCCCTAGCACCCCGCCCCCTCCCCCTTATTGTGAATCGGCATCTGCATATCAGAGAAAACACTGGGCCTTTGGTTTTGGGGGATTGGCTGATTTCACTTAGCTCCAACCATTTACCAGCAAATGCCAGAGTTTCATTCTTCTTTATGGCTGAGTAGCATTCCGTTGTGTATATACACCACATTTTCTGTACCCATTCATCTGTTGAAGGGCACTTAGGTTGGTTTCATGGTTTAGCTGTTATGAGTTGAGCTGCTATAAACATTGATGTGGCTGCGCCACTGTCGTATGCTGATTTTTAAGTCCTTTGGGTGTAGACCGAGGAGTGGGGTAGCTGGGCCAAATGGTGGTTCCATTCCGAGTTTTCTGGGGACTCTCCATACTGCTTTTCATAATGGTTACCCCAATTTGCAGGCCCGCCAGTAATGTATGAGTGTACCTTTCCCCCCACATCCTCGCCAACACTTATTCTTGCATTTATTCTTGATAACTGCCATTCTGTCTGGGGTGGGATGAAGTCTCACAGTAGTTTTCATTTGCCTTTCTCTAATTACTAGAGATGTTGTACACGTTTTCATATATTTGTTGATCGCTTGTATATCTTCTTCTGAGAGGTGTCTGTTCGGTTCCTTAGCCCATTTATCAATTGGGTTGTTTGCTTTTTTGGCATTAAGTCATTTGAGTTCTTTATATATCCTGGGGATTGGCACATCTATCTGATGTGCGTGTGGTAAAAAATGTGCTCCTGTATGGTAGGCTCTCTCTTCACCTCAGTGATTGTTTCCTTAGCCGAGAAGAAGCTTTTTCGTTTGTATCCATCCCGTTTATTGATTCTTGAATTGACTTCTTGCTCTTTAGGAGTCTTGTTAAGGAAGTCAATTCCTAAGCCGGCCTGGTTAAAATTTGGGCCTGGTTTCCTCTTCTATCAGGTGCAGAGTCTCTGTTCTAGTGCCTGTCTTTGATCCACTTTGAGTTGACTTTCGTGCATGGTGAGAGATAGGGGTTTAATTTAATTTTGCTGCATATGGATTCCCAGTTTTCCAGCACCATTTGTTGAAGAGGTCCTCTTTTCTCCAATGTATGTTTTGGGCACCTTTGTCTAGTATGAGATAACTGTATTTTTGTGGGTTTGTCTCTGTGTGCTCTGTTCTGTACCATTGGTCTACATGTCTGTTTTGGTGCCAGTACTATGCCGTTTTTGTTACTGTGTCTCTTGGTAAGGTTAAGGTCTGGTATTGAGATGCCTCCTGCTTCCCTCCT